TGTAGTATTATTTTAAATGTTAAAAAATTTAATTATAGTACGAAATCGAATGGAACCGAACAGAACCGAATCGAACCGAACCGAACCGAAACCGAACGGTTCCAAAATTATATTTGGAACCGACGGTTCCATTTACTAAATACCCGAAAATTTCTGGAACCGAAAAAAATCAAACCGAACCGACCCGCGCCCACCCCTAGCAATAATGTATTAGAATTCAGCAAAATCAAACGAGCGAATTCAACCATCTAATGTTAAAACGAGTATCCATTGGTGTCCTGAAATGAGCTACTATTTTGCAGTATGTTATGGTTAAATCTTACATTGAATAAATCTAAAAATATTAATCAACATATAATTTATTTGAATTACTTCTTTTAATAAGATTAAAATTTGAAAATGGAACCTTATACCAAGCAGCGGCTCCTGCCTCCTGGTGTGTCGAGAAAGGAACTCAAAGAGTGGAGATAACCGAAAGGTGAAGATTGGGAATGACTTAGGTGGCGTTTGATACCACAAATTATACCGTTTAAGGAATTGAAGTATAAAATCAAAATGTATATGCTATCAACCTTAATACTTTCTACCTAGTACTAATCCCCTCTAATCTTATGCAAAAATAATTCGATGTGCCAAACGTAGCCTTATAGAAGAAATATCGTGCAATTCTAATCGAAAGCTAAGAGTCCTAAGAGAAGAGTTTCATACTCGGGCTAGATTCTTTTTCCGCGAAAAATAAAAAAGCTGACAAGAATTTCGAAAAACAATGATAATAGCAGTGTACATATATATATATATATATAATATATTACAGATTCAAATAATAAAACAACTATATAAAACCAGACCAATACAGCAGGGAATGCTATATCCCTTTCTCAGTTAATAGCACACTCTTTTCACTTACACAAACACACTCGTACACTAGCTCTTCCAAAGAAATTTGCGTAAAACAGTCTTAACCAGATGATCAGAGATTATGCCGTTTGTCTTCTCCGAAGGATGAAATGCGTCCCAAAACACGTATTTGTTTGCATCCGTACACGTTAACGGATTATAACGATCACATGCATACCCCATCTCAAACATGCCCGTGGCACAACACGCCACTCCCGAAACATCAAATCCTGCAATAATCTGTAAGTCATTATTCATTTCGATGAGCTAGACAAGATTAAAGAAGAGAAACCAGTTAAAAAAAGCGTACCGTATAATGATGGTTTCTTGATTATTTGCTGCAACATGTAGTAAGGATTGGAGAAAACCAGTTGAATCCCAGGCATTTCTTTGTTTAGCTTCATTACTAAATTACTCAACTTGCTATTGAAATTCAAGGCAACTATATTATAACTCTCCACACAAGCATTTCCACTTTCTACATTTTCTGCTCTTTCCAAAGGCATACACCCCATTGGAGGAAGGCCCCCAAGAGAGATTTTACGTGCCCCGAGACCATGAAGATTTACGATAAAATTTCTAGCAATCCCGATTAGAAAATCTTGGTATTCATCAACGTTGTACTGCATTTGCCTTCTAGGAAGTGTGTAATAATTTTCGAGAAAGTCGTTGGTTCCAATACTCATCATGTATAAAGCATCAGTGATAGTTTCATTGGCCTTCTGCTCACCTAAGTATGCCTTAAGTTTCTTCTGATAGTCTTTATAGTATTCCAACTCCTGCCAAAAAGGTATCACATCCTGCAGGTAATTTGTTCATGTTAAAATCGTACGAGGATTTTTGATATGTAGTACTATGAATAAGATTTCGAGATTTTGATATTTAATGAAAAACTTACTAGAACATCAGAAGTTGCATTGTCGTATCCCGTTCCAGCTGAAGCAAAAGTGACACCAACAGCAAAATCTGAAATTTTATACTTGGGATCCAAATAAGCAGGAATGAATGGCCTGAGACCAAATGCCTCTGAGATGAAATCAGTCGGAACTCGGCCGTTGGAGAACCGGCCGGTGGGCTTGCCCCCATTAAAATCTCGACCATATGGCTCGAAATTGCTCCTCGCAATCGTTGGAATGTAATTGTTATTTCCAGCATCAACAGATGAATCCCCAAACACAATTATAGCTGGAACTTTGGCACTGGTTTTTACTATAAGCATTGAGAAAAGCCATAGTAGTACGTGCACATAAGCCATTTTCTACTTATTTTTCCTTTGATTTTCCTCTCTTTTAACAGAACTCGCCAGGGGAGGAACCATGCACGGATGAAGATATATAGTACCCGTGATGACGAATAATTGATGACACGTAGTGTCATAGGTTAACTGCATTTGTTGGAGTTTTAATTAGCAGTAGGTGTGGATATACGTTATGTCAGTGACTTTCACGGAAATCTCAATAGAGTCATTGGTCTTCAATTTATTTAGTTTGAATTGGGTCACTAAATTTCAATTTAATTTCAAATTTCACAACTCCCTCACGCTCTTATGTCTCCTCCAAACTTGTGAAAATTGCTCGATTGATTGCCATACTACAATAGATCTTTTACATAATCATTGTATGTCATGCTAACTTACTACTGTGTCACGTCAAAAAAGTGTTACAAAAAATAGGCCTTCTTATAACCTTTAATTTTTTATACAAATACATTGATATAAACCCTCGTTTTACCTTTTTTTTTCTATTCTTGGTTGCCACGTAGAAATAACGTGGAAGATTATTCACGGTATGGCTGCAAACTAATCAATTTTTATCCATTTTGAGGATTATAGGTGATCATAAATGTGACCGAGTAGTGAAATTTGAAACTAGATTAAAATTCAGTGACCAAACATGGACAAATTAGGGATAATTACCAAAAACCAACTGTTTAGTTTTAAGTTTATGAAAATCAGGTTTTAGCTTTATTTAATCAAAAATCAGGTTTTATAATATTTAATTAATAATGATATTATAAAATTAAAATAACCTATATACCCACCTACCCCCCACCAAATATAAAATCTAAATCTATCCAAACCATAACATATCCAATTCATATCTCTCCTCCCACCATGTCTGTCGCCTCCACCGCCACCTCTCTCCACCACCGTCGTCGACGCCC